ACTGTGGATGAGTAAAATGTGGCAAATGAATCCATTCAACCATTGAAAAAACTAAACAAACTTGTTGCCAGGGTGCGGAGTCTGCCTGGTAAACCCTACAGCACAGATTAGAACAGCCCTGTGCAATTTCCAAATCCAGGGTCTTTACAGGGAGCAGGTCACTGGGGCTGTCTCCCCATCGAGCAGCTGGTAGTTTTGAACTGCAAACCTTTCTGTTAGCAGCCGAGCTCTCAACTGCGGAGCTCCCAGAATTCATTCCTTCTTTCTCAACCAGAGAGAGAAAGGAAGGCTTCACACACACACACACACACACACACACACACACGGCTGAACCTTAAGGAGATTATGGGGAGGGAAGTAAAAACATAAAAGGACAAATATGGCTGGACCTGACTTACATGAGACATCTAGAAGAGGCAAATTCAGAAAGTAGATTCGAATTTAGCAGGGGCTAGGGGGATGGGGCAACCGGGAGTTATTGCTTCATTGGTTCTGTGTGGGGTGATGAAAACAACTGCGGAAACAGCGGTGGTGGTTACACAACACTCTGAATGCAATGGACTTAATGCCACCAAAATGGACATGCAACATGATGTCAGGGGCCCCTTTTATAGTGTGTATTTACCACCATCAAATTCAAAGAGAACAATCTTTTTTTTTTTTTTGAGAACTATCTTATTTTTTAAAACCTGCGTCCAATGAAGATGGACAAGAAAGACCTTCACTCTCACGGTAACAAAACCCCTACAATCTAATAAAAACCAGAATGAGAAAGAAGGAAGCCTGGATACGCTGGATTTCAGGGAAAATGGGCTTTCCCAGGGTGAGCAGAGAGCTACGACTACCGGGTCACCCTAGCACCTTCCAGGGGCTCTTGGTCACGTCACCTCTTTCTTCTCTGTCTTCGGCCAAGTGCAGGTAAACGCAGCTTCCCATTGAGGCTGATTTGGGGCTGCCTCCTGGTTGGCTGCGGGCTCTTCTATCACCTATGTAACCAATTCTCTCTACCCCAATTCCTCTACCTCAACCCCTCTCACGCCCCACGGGACAGACAGTAGCCCCTACATTTTCCACCTCTGAAGTACAGTGGGATGAGCTACCCCACTTTTAGTGTAAGTGGCAACCTGGTGGGGCCCTAGAAAAAGACGGGAAGCTGGACAACTGGACCTCTGTCCACCAACCCCAGCTGCAGAGACCACCCCTCTCAGGATGGGAGCAAAGTCTCAATGGCCTCCAACATTCCTTCCTATTTCATCCAAAATGCATTCCTGAAAACACGGGGCTTCAACACCAGATTTAAAACAGAAAAGAAGTTGGCCCTGCCAGGGTTAAAGGCTCCAGCGTGGTGCCCTCCACTGGCCAGATGCCTCCTATTTACACAAGGAGACGTTTAGAGGGAGATTACCATCCTTTCATCCTAGTCTTAGTCCTGAAGCTAAGCTGAAACCTGTTTAGCATCATAGCAAGGCACATTCCTTGGGACTCCAACTCAGGTCTCCCCACTGCTGAAGGAAAGAGGTTTATCACTGAACCACCACTAGGCTCCATTATTTAACTCTTCGAACCACCTTATTAAATCCATGGCCCTCATTTTGGGGACAGAAGTCCACACCATGGTATGGGTCCCTGGGTTGTAAATAGTCAAGTGGCCTTCATGTATTTCTCCAAATATTCCAAAGTTACCAGCGCTCTAGACAACTACTTCTTGGTCACTTAAGAGCTATGGACAATGTTTTGGCTAAATTACAAGTTTGGAGTGGGGGGCTCTGCTTGAAATTGCCATGATTCTTATACACTCAGCCAGTAAATTGCTTGGCACTTGCTATTGGATCGGTGGTCTTCTTACAGCACACTGCGGTGACTGCTCTCCATTCAAAAGCCTGTTGCTGTGGTGACCCCTTGTGTTAGAGTAGGGTTTTCTTGGCTATAGTCTTTACAGCTGCAGATTCCTATGCCTTTATTAGAAAGAGCCACTAGGGAGGTTTCAATTGCCAACCTTTAGGTTAGCAGTTAGAGAAGCTCTGGTGGTTTAGTGGGTTTCATGCTGGGCTGCTAACCACAAGGTTGGTGGTTCAAAATTCACTTAACACTCCAGAGGAGAAAGATGATGCTTTCTGCTCCCCCCCCCCCAAAAAAAAAAAAACCCAATATTTACAGCCTCAGAAACCCACAAGGAGAGTTCTACCCTACCTTATAAGGTCGCTATGAGCTGGAACCGACTCAGTGGCAGGGAATTTTTGAGAGGTTTGCAGCTGAGTGCAAACTACTTGCACAATCCAGGGGCCCCTATGAGAATAAACAAGTGGGAGTAGAAGGATGGTCCCAATATTCAGGCAATGCCAGTGGCTACTGCAGAGGGTAGCAAATCATCCCGTTGGGGAGTCTCCCTCCAACAGAGCAGTGACCTGGCTTACAAGGTCAAGGGCTGAGGATGAGCCAACTGCTGTAGGTTCTGATTCAAGGTGCCTCTTTCCAGCCCCCTGGATGTGTGTTGGATTCAGCAACACTCATCTCATATGCCTAGCACTGACTCCAGAACCACAGGGGTGTATTGCTCTCCATAGATCTTCTCCCTCACTCCAGGAAGCTGTGCAATGGCATCATCACACAGGCCAACCCACAGGCCAGACCCTCACTTTCACCAAGGCTGGATGGTCTGGGCCTCAGAGATGCAGAGACTAGACTATGAGTATGCTCCTTTTACTTGGTGAAAGGCTAGTTTGATTTGGCTTTATACCTCCAACTTTGATCCCAATAGCCTCTGGACCACCTTTATGTCTACTGCCCGAGTCCCTGGTCAGAAGCTTCCAAATGCATGAACATGCCTAGTTAAGACCTGGGTGTCACAGCCAATGGGAAGTTCGGATTGCTCATAGAGGACATTCCATGTCAGGGGGAGACAAACAGCTTGAGCTGCCCCGTGGAAACTTTAAGCAGCTTTGAAGGGTGCCTGCATGCACAGAAGTGCTCCGGAGGCCTTCTCTTTCATACCGACCACTTGTCACCCAAGTGTCAGACAACAATCAATCACCATCAACCTGTAGAAACTAATATTATGGCCAAGATTTCCTACACGTTCGAAAAGTTCAAGGTCAACTGGACTGTAGGACAATTCATTATTTGTCCGCCACCAGTGATCCCTTTATGCTAGAGTAAATGAAGAATTGTTAGGCAAAAGTCATTGAGAACCTTCATTAAACAAAAATTCCAAAATGGGAAGCGGTTTCTTGATAGATCTTCCCCATCTAGGTCTGTATGCTTTCTGAGACAGCGTTTCCATCTCTCCAACCCTTCCCCCCAAGAATTCTGTGTTATTCATTTCTCGTTATTGCTGTTAGGTGACATTGAAGTCTGCTCCTACCCATAGCGACCCTACGGCACAACAGAATGAAACACTGTCTGGTCCTGCACCATCCTCACCACTGTTCCTACGCTGGGGCCCACTACTGTACCACTGTGTCAACTCATCTCCTTGAGTGTCTTCCTTGATTTATACCACATAAAAATGCCAGTTTAAGTTCCCCTTCAGGGACTCGAATCATGTTGAAATGGTCTCAGAGTTTGGGGAGCAAAAATATGTTTAAAGAGGCAAGATCAGGACTGTAGGGCAGACGAGGCAAGGCTTCCCCGTGTACTTCTCACAGAACCACCCTTGCTACCATGGAAGAAGGACCAAGTGCATCGTGGTGATTTAAAACATTTGTTAAAAAGCAAATTCTTCACACAATTTTCCTCATCAATATGGTTTCCCATTCTCTTAAAACTTCTGCCTAGTAAGCTCCTGCGATTGACCGTCTATCAAGATTAGCCCTTGGGAATCCCAAAACACAGTCACCAACCATACATAACCTTCTGAGTGGATCTGTCTGCGTGGCATTGAACTGGCCCATCAGATCCCCTCAGGAGGCATTGGGCCTTTTTGGGAAGGCACTCTTAGGAGCCTAAGACAGTTCATTTCAGAGAGACCCTCTCTGCAGCCATACACGGATCGCAGAGACATGTTTAAACCCATTTGGTCTGGAATAAAACCATGCATGTGTGAACCGGAACCCTGGTAGCCACCCTGTTGACTTACCCCTGAAGGCACAAAGGAACTCATTCCATCAACATCCTCAAACCACAAACTCAAAAAACAAAGCAAAACAAAACTCCCTGCCATCAAGTTGATTCCAACTGATAGCAACCCTACAGGGCAAAGTAGAACTGCCCCCTTTGGATTTTCCAGGTCGTAAATCTTTCTGGGAGCAGAAAGGCTCATCCTTCTCCCACAGAGGGGCTGGGGCAGGGGGGGTGGGTGGGACTGATGAACTTGTGTTTAGTAGCCCAACACATTAACCCACGGGGGCTCCTGCCTCAAAATTGTACACGGGCAAATCTTACTGTGACGATGTTGGCAGTTGGCCAAGTGAAATCCAAAAGTAACACAGGCATCGGGTCTCTTGTATCCATGAAAGAAAGCAGAGCCTTCTATAGAAAACCACTAGGTGGTTATACATGAGGTTCTCCACCTGAAGAACCCTGCTCTGTACACACAAGCCTTTCAAGACATGGTCTCCAGAGGCAAGTGTTGCCTCCTCATCTGCCTCCACTTCACCCGAGTCTTGCGTTCTAGGGGCCCTGGGTGCACCTTGCACATGAAGGCACCTCTGGCCCTGGCCCCTCCCCAATCCCACACTCTTTTCTCACCCCTGGGAACATTCTTTCCAAGTCTTCAAAACCTAGCTTCAAAGGCCTCAGAGAGCATATCTAAAACCACTGAGCAGTGCGAGTCCTTCCCACTGTGACACGCACCCCCCCCACACGTGTTATGTGCCCAGAATCAGGTGTTGAACCTTGCAACTAGAACGTATGTTCCACAGTCCCTGAGGACAAAGCCTATGTCATATTCATCTTCATAACCTTGGCATTTGGCTTCCTGACCTGGCATGCACTTGATTAACACATCGAGCAAAAAAGCAGAAAGCAGGGTTCTAATCCTACACCGGAGTTGTCATTCGTACCTATTCAGGGCAAATGCATAGTGGAACTTGATATTGTGCTGATCGGCCAGGTCACACGTCGGCAGCATCTCTAGGGCCTCCACCAGCTTCACCATCGCGTCGTAGTCCTGTTGCCAAGAGGTTATCAAGGTCAGCGAGATAGCAAACACAGCTCTTTACAGGTTTGGCTGCAGAGCTATAAACATGAGGTGGTCATCCCATTGAAAGAGAGGGCTTCCTTTACAGGGGCCCCTTCGTGAACTTGCCTGTCACCTTTAACAGTTCAAATAGTCAGAGTGAGGTGGCCTAAAGAGAAGAGGAATTCCTGCTAGCCAAGGCCACCCTGAGACCAAAGGTAACAAGACAGCAAGAGGCAGCAGACAGGAAAAGGCTACCTTGTTTCCAATGCAGGGACGTGAATGATACCAGCAAAGCGGTGAGTGAGATTGGGCGGGACATAAATGCTTCCCCCAACATGGGCTTATTTACAGCCCACATAAAGAAGACATCCAACCCCTTCCTATTTTGCCCAAACCTCTCAAATACCTCCCCATCAGGATTTTTCAACCTGGATCATTCTTAGGTGTGGAAAGCTGAACTGTGGGATGTAGTAACCTCATCCTTGGCCTCAACCCACTGGAAGCCAATAATAGCCTTACACACACACACACACACCCCAGACACACACTCCAGTTGTGCCAGCCAAAACTGTCATCAGATTTTGCCAATAATCCTTCGAGAGGCTCAATAATCTCTGGCTGAGAACCTCTGCTCTCCACCCTGTGTGTAAGCCAGGAGAGGAGGAAGCCAGCAGCTCAAGCTAAGCCCTCTCCATTCTCTTGTCCGACAGAAGAAGAACAAATGGCTGCCGCCATCCCCCGTCACATCTGATATTCAAATCAGGTCCGCGCATTTGCTTTCCACTAGGGTCTTGAGTGCCTTCGTGCTGGACTCTGGCCTTGAGTTACCACATCACCCCCAAATCTGAAGGCAGGCAGCTTGTGGAGGTCTCTCTCACTTAAAGGCACATGGCCACCAACTTCCAGCAGGGCCTTGTGGCACTCTACAGGTAGGGACAGGACCTGTGAGCCTCCAAAGAGAGGGTCAGTAAGGCACCCTTGAAAGTGGCTCTGTGGCAGTAAACTCGGAGGGGGCAGGGGGAGGAGACTGTCGTGCTTTGGTCCTGCTCCCATATCCATTTCCCTGGGTCCTGTAGGAGGGGGGCTTCAAAACCCTGAAAGTCGATGGCCTACCCATCCATTTGCTGGCAGGTGGTGTTAAGAGGAAGGTGCCGAAGGGCTAAAGGAAGCGGTACAGCACAGGCGTTAAGGGGGTAGCTCACAGAGCCAGTCCGCCTCGGCTTGAATCTGAACTTCACTAATTGCTTGGTGACCTTGGGCAACTTGCCTAACTTCTCTGAGCCTCAAACTTCTCATTAGGAAAATGTGGTAAGCAAGAACATACACCCCCATAGGTTTAAGAGGATTAGCTGGCTGAGTACTGTCTATACTCGTGTATAAGCCACGTTTTTCAGCACATCTTTTTGGTGCAGGTTTTATGGTAAACTTAGGTGCCTCAGCTGATATTCGGGTTGGCTTATACTCGAGTATATATGGTATTTGCTTAACCGATACTTAACAAACCGTGAATGTACACCACTCAAGTCTGGTTTCTTAACAAGGAGGGGCCTGTGGTGAGGCCTCCAACAGGTACCCCATACCCAGGCTGGCTCAGTTGGATTCTGCTCCATCTATCAAACATCCCTCTCTCCCATTGCATCCAGCCAGTAGGCGTTCCTTGGGCGAGGGAGTACCTGGGATTAGATGAGCCTTAAGTAGGTGGTGCCTACCTGAATGTCGCGGTAGGACAGCAGTAAATTAATGACGATGTCTGACGTCAGCACCTCAGTGTTGTCCATGCGGAGCTTGATCCGAGCTAGCTCTTTTGCCAGTTCTGCACCTTGGTATTTCTCCCTGGCTTTCCGAATGTCACTCAATAAAGTTTCTTTGTAGTAAGTGCTGGAGGGGGAGACAAAGAAACCTCCCATCACATCTCTGTGCCCGTAAACCACCCCGTTTCCTTTAGTGGAGCAAACAGACAGGGGTCTCATTCTGGGCTACCCTGCACTAGTCAATGGAAGCCACATGCTACTTGCTAATCATATTTGGCAGAAACCCAGGCTGTTGGTTCGAACACACCCAGGGATGCCTGCCTAAAAATAACAGTGACAAAAACCCTATGGGACAATTCTACTGTGGCCTGGGGTTTTGTTACGGGCCAGGGGACACTCAACAGTCCCCATAGCAGCAGCGGCCAGTGAAGGGGGCCTCTGGGTGGCGCAAATGGTTAAGGGAGTAGCTACTAGTCCATCAACACCCCCAGTTCCCAGGAGAGAGAAAGAACAACAAACTCGATTGCTTAGAACCTTGACAACGTGGTTACAGTTGATCTGATCTGCACGCAGAAAACACATAGATAGCACTTGCAATCCCACCCACTTTCTCTGTCATCTCCCAGTGCTATGAGGCCAAGAAGGTACCTTTTCTGGACTTCCTCCTCTCGCATCCGAATGTCACCCAAGCCAACAGGGCCCCAACATCCCTGAATAGGACAAGGATGCTCTCTACCGGGTTGCAGTTTTCCCCAGTTGGATGGAAGCTAGAGACTCTTCTCGTGGCCTTGAGGGTGAAGGCGCAACACAGAGGCCAGGCATCGCCCTGATGGCCATGCCTCTGAGCCCCACTCACTCCTTGTCATCTTGAGCCTCCAGAATGGCTTAGTAACTCGAACTGTAAAAGCTTCCTCCTGCCGTGGCTATACTCCTCCAGAAGTGAAGGTTAACGGCCAACCTTTAGGGACCTTAGATAACAACGGGGATGTTTACAAACATTTAAACACCTTAACCCCCACCCGGGGTCATTGAATTGTACACGTGCAAACTGTTGGCGCATGCTTTGTTGTATGTATTTGCACAACTAAGGGAAGAAAAACAAAAAAAAAAACTATACCACACCAAAAGCAACACATTGGCATATTTAACCCTATCTTTAACCCTCTCCCCTGCAAGCAGCGGCAAGCAAGAGATCAAAAGACGTTAGGTGTTGCGTAAGGTGGATCTGCTGCGCCAGACCGACCTTTTTAGAACCTTGAAAAGCAAGGATGTTACTTTGAGGACTTAACGTGTGCCTGCCCCGAGCCAGGGTATTTCCGGTCACTTCATAGGCACGTACAAGTTAGCCGCTGAGTAAGGCAGGCAGACAGAAGAATTAATGCATTTGAATTGTGAAGAAGAGGGACAGGACCACGGCCTGCTAAAAGGACAAACTGATCTGTCTTGGAAGAGGTACGGCCAGAGTGCTCCTTAGAGGCAAAGACGACAAGATGTCGTCTTACAGGCTTTGGACCTATTGGTAGGAGAGACCAGCCCCGGGAGGAGGAGATTGCTGGTGGGGATGTAAAATGGGCAGTCCCTGGGGAAAACTGCCTGCTGGTTCTTCAAAGAGCTGAACAAAGAACCACAAACCTCATTGCGTCTTTCGGCCATCGAGTGGATGCCGACTCATAGGGACCCTACAGGACAGGGTAGAACTGCCTGTGAGTTTCTGTGACTCTGAACTCTTTCCCGGAGTGGAAAGCTCCGTCCTGCTACTATGGAGCAGCTGGGGGTTCCCAATTGCTGACCTGGCAGGGACCAGCCCCGCGAGTCATCACGACGCCCGCAGCAGTCTAGCCACAGCCACGGCAGGAACATCAACCAAAACCTGCTCGTGGCAGCGCGTTTCACGGTCAGACGGTGTGACCTGGGAGGTTGGTGGCTGGTGGGAATTACCATGAGGTCACGTGGATGTCCTTGAGGAGGCTAATGAACCTGTCCGCCAGGGGCACACACAATGGGCCCAGCACCGTGTCCCAGTTGGGCTGCATGTACTCCGAAGCCCGCCTCTGGGCATTGCTCTCACAGCAAAAATAATCGGCACCCGGTGTCACGATGTACGGGATGAAATAATAGTTTCCACTGGATGCCTGGAGGGGGAAGCAGACAAATATCTTAGGAGGTCACGGGTAGAGCAGCACCACTGGGCCTTGGGGCAGGAGAGACCCTCAAGCTAGAGTAGATGATCCATGTCGTACACAGTGATGAAGCTATTAGGCACAAAACTGGAAACCATCCTGTTTCACAAGCTCCAGCACCTGCAAGGTTGGCAGTTCGAACCCACCTAGAGGTGTCTTCGAAGACAGGCTTGGCCATCTGCTGCTGAAAGGTCCCTGCCAAGAAAACGCCTCTGAAGCAGTTCGAGGCCACTCAATGGTTTGGGTTTCCAATGTTGCTCGGGTCTGGATTTGACTCAACTTTGGGGGGCATTTGTAAGGGTGTACGTTTTAGAAATCACATTGGCTTAGGAAACGGTCCCTAAACCAGAGCCCTGGAACGGATAAGCCAGAGCGATAGAACCTTTCATCAGAGATGACAAAAGCATGTTATCTCCGAATCTAACCCCAGATGAACTAGTATCCACATCACAGAGGAACTCTTGCGCAGGAAGCAGCCATTAATAAAGAGTCGCAGATGTTGAATAGCTGCTGAAATTCTGAGCAAGGTGGTTGGGGTAAATCAAAGAATTGAAACAACAACCAGACCCATTGCCCTCCATGTGGATGCTGGCTCAGAGAACTGCCCCCCAGGGTTTCCAGGGCCGTGACCCTGACAGAAGCAGGCTGCCATATCTTTCTTCCACAGAGCAGCTGCCGGGGTGGGGGTGGGGGGTTGTCAAACTGAGTGCTTAACGACTGCACCACCAAGGCTCCTTACTACTCTGGTAGGATGCACTCTTTTAAAAATCACTTTATTGGGGGCTCTTACAACAATCCATACATCAATTATATCAATCACATTTGGGCCATCATTTTCTTTCTACTTGGTATCAGCTCCAGCCCCCCACCTTCGTGAATCCTTCCTTGATTTCCATATCGTCCACTGTCTCCTTTCACCCACATTTCTGTAGTTCATAGCCCCCCCTCTCCTACCTTCATGGTATCACTATTCTCATACTGTTTCTGAGGAGCATTAATGAACTAGAGGAAGGTTGTGTGTTTCGTCAGTGCTATACTGCACCCTGGCTGACTCGTCCCTTCCTTGTGACCCTTCTGTGAGGGGATGTCCAATTGTCTACAGATGGGCTTTGATTCTCCACTCTGACCCCCAACGTTCACATCGACATGATCATTTTGGCTCTTCTGATGCCTAATCCCATCAACACCTTGTGATCACACAAGCTGTTATGCATCCATGTGTGATATGTTGCTTCCCTGCTAGATAGCTACTTGTTTCACTTCAAGCCTTCTAAGACCTCAGATGCAGTATAGTCTAATAGCCAGGCACCATCAGCTGTTTTCACATTTGATGCACTCTTTTCTAGGGAGTCATTGTAGTCAGACAATGCATCCTGATGCTTTCTAAATCACTATCTTTAAGTAGCATCCAAGGAATGCTCAATCCCTAACATATGTGGACCATTTAAATGCATGTTTCATCACAGCCAATCTTGGGATGAGCACCAGGGTTTCCCAAAGTGAGTGATGCTATTCCCCCCTTGGGGGGGGGTACGCTGGGATAATCCAGGGTGTGCTACAAAAGCAGGCACTTCCTCCTGAATTATGAGTTATTAATTGGGAGGGCTGAATTTTTTTTTCCTCTCTGAAAAGGTGGCAGTAGACTTCGTAAATTTGGGAACCTATGCTCTACCCCATCTTGGAGAGAAACTTTTTAAGAATAGATGCTCCATGTTGTCACTGGTCCCCCAGTCCTCTGGCTCAAGGGGCAGAGCAGCAGCAGCAGCAGCTTTGGCTCTGAGGGTTGGTTCCAGCAGTGGAGAGAAAACGGAGGGAGAAAGAGGGGCTGCGGGAACTAAAATCAGACTGGGAGATGGCAGGACCTCGGTTGAGAAAATATTTTCATAACTGCTCCCAAATTTGACACCCCCCCAAAAGGCATTCATAAAGCAGAGGCTGTGACTCCCCCAAACTTTGATCTTTGTGGCTGAGAATGGATGCTGCAGAGCATTCCAGCTTACCAGCTTCCACCGGGCCCATCCAGCGACATTGTTTACATTGTGTGCATTCTTTGAGTTGGGCAACCGTCATGCCTGCCTTTTCTGAGTCGTACACTGTCCCCTATGGTCCCTACATGATCTTGCAAGTTGCTATTGTCAATGTGATCTTACAGAACTAGCTCTTAAAAAGAGTAGAATGCAGTCAGGTAAAATTCTTCAGTGAAATTCAACTCATCATAGTTTTAAGACAACTCCAGGGGATATTTTTGGTTTCTGGGGATATTTGGCTTAAAAATGATCTCGGGACAATAGTTTCAGGGATTCATCTGATCTTCAAAGGTCCAGAAATCTGGAATCATTAGAATTTTAAAGTCTGTTCTCTGTGCTCCTGTACTGTGATCAGAATTTTCCCATAGACTCTTTAACCGAAATGCTCTGTAATGATAACCTTCCACCATCCAAGCTCTTCTGATCTCATGGCCAAGGAGCCCTGGTGGCGATTTTCAATACATTCCATGTCCTCCTCCTCGTCCTGAGGCGACCCCTCCATTGTTCCAAGTGGAGAGGCCTGCTGCCGGATTTGGGGTGGCCACTTGCAAGCTTTTAAGACCCCAGGCCCTACACAATGAGCTAGGAGCTAGAGCAGAAGCACTAGGCCAATGAAAATGGGATGTCTTAGAAAAAAAAAAAAGAAAAACATGACCCCAAACCTCCAAACCAAGAAACCAAACTCCACAAGGTGTTTGGTTGTACACAAGCAGCCTTAGCAACTTATTGTCACTGTCAACATAAAACATCTTTTACAAGTGTTACCGCTTAGTGACAGCAATTACAATCATCAGTGTGCAATCCTACCTGTCATTTGATTTTTCTATCACCAGGAATTGAACCTCAGCAGTCAGTGAGCAATAGTGATATTCTCATCCTCAGTAACCAGGAATCAACTTAGGTCTTTATAATTTGCCTATGCCTTTTTATATAAATGAGGCCAGACATTTGTCCTTTTAGGATTCAATTAGTTCATGCAGCCTAGCGTCTTCCAGCTCCATCTATATTGTCATGTCCAAGTTATTCCGTTTGTTCTTATAAAGAGAGGCCCCAACATCTTCAAGGGATGGGGGCACAATAAGAAGTTGGGGGGCAGGAGACCAGAAATGAAAACCATTGATTAGCTTAATGTAGGCCCAAAGGTGAACAAGGATCAGATTTTTTCTGTTACCTTTCGAAATGGAAACAGCTCAAGGACCCAGCTAATTAAAACAAATTTAACAAAGGGAGCTTAGTCTCTGACATAAAGGGGCATTAAAACTAATTATGCTAGCGACATTAATATGCAAAACCTTTTTCAACATTCTCCAAATAGTTCCTAAATGACAATTTGTGAGTAAGGCCAGAGCCAAACGCATGGACTCTGTTGACACAGCGAGGGTGTTTTCCAGAAGGAAGACTACAAACAGCACCACAGAAAGTCCTATATCATTATGACGTTAAGTCACACCCATTTGTTCCAAGCTCCCAGTAGAAAAGCTTGGCATCCCCAGTGTCATTCTTTTAATTAGCTCCCCTCGCACTGGACCTCAGCCGCCCTGATGCTTGAAGAGTTAAGTGCTAGGTTCAGCTCTAGTTGTCACGGGGGTCGCTGGATCAGCTCATTGGCGCTCACGATGACACTCAACCTGGCCAGTGAGTTCCCTGGCCAGTGAGTCTGGCCTGCTCGCTCACTCTCCTACGGTCTACCCTTCAGACTTCTCTACTAAGTCAGCAACAGAAAAGAGCAGCTCTGTGCTTAAAAAAGTACGCATTTCTTTGTACTGTGGCCTTTTCCCAAGGACAGCTTCTGGGAAGTGAAGGGATTACAGCCAGATCAAGGTTCGTGGGATGTCTGGTCAAAGTGGTGTCAACAAGGATGAAGCCGCTAGCAGAAAGTGAGGAAATGCTTACTGTCTCAGCCTCTGCCCCAAACTAGCTAGTGTCTTCTTACTCCTATTGGCCAAGTTAGATGAAAAATACTTTGTCAATATGGAAACTGGAAGCTCTTATATTCTCAACTTGCACAGACCAAGTTGGCGAATGCAAAGGGGCCGAGGACTAAATCCTAGCTGTGTCCTAGACTATTCTAGAAAACGTACGTATCTGTCAAAACATCACAGTTCTCTCATTTTTAAAATGGGGCGGTCCCTCTACTTCAGACGGTGATAGAGGATGTGGCCATTTACATAGTGTTACACACAGTAGGCCTCCAAAAAACATTAACCACCTGCAGGAGCTCTAAGGAGCCCAGGTGATACAGGGATCACCCGTAAACTGAAAGGTTAGCAGTTTGAACCTACCGGCCTAAAGATTAACCCACCGCATTGATCCTGACTCGTGACAATCTTACATGAGGTTTCTGAGGCTTTATCCATCTTCCCTCTTGATGGGTTTGAACCTTAGGGTCATGGGTTCAACACCCAACCCACAGTGCCACCAGGGAAACCCTATGGGGCAGTTTTATTGTCCTGTAGGGCGAGTCTCTCCTAGTCCGAGTTCACCTGAAGGCGCTTGGTTGGGGCAATGACACGAGACCAAACCGGGCATTCTAGTAATTCTTGGAGGCAGGTGGGAGGAGGGTGTCTGTAAATTTGAATGAAGGGGAAAAAAACACGTCTTGATTATCATTTGCCTTACACTGAAATGTGCTATTTCCCTCTATCAGGGAATAAGGTTTCACATAGGTGGCCCAAGGATTCAGGGGGGAGGCAGGGGCAGGCAAGGAGCCCCCTTGCTTTATTTATGGCTAAGCAGCAGAAGGTGGCAGAGTGGTCACTAGCTGCACAAAGTCTGTAAATCCCCGTTTTCTTAAAAAAATAATAATATGTATGCATTGTGATAAGAGTTGTATGAGCCCCTAATAAAATGATTTTTTTTAATTATCAAAGGTTCAAGAGAGTGGGAGGGTGAGGTTGGGACAGGGAAAAAAGACCTGATACCAAGGGTTGAATTAAAAAGAAAATGTTTAGAAATGATCATTTCAACATATGTACAAATGTTCATGATACAGTTGATACATTGTTATAAGAGCTGTAAGAGCTCCCAATAAAATGATTTATTTTTAAAAAATAAATAATAAATCCTCTCTTCAGAGCAAGTAAGATGTGTAGAAATTTATTCTAGCCAACTTCTTAATGAGAATGTGTTTGACCTGGAAGCATTTTGGGGTGGTGGTGGTGGAGTAATGATATGATACAAGCAAGCATTGAATCCGTCAACCAACTGCATCCAAAGGGGTGTGTGCATGTAAGGTGGATGAAAACTCACTGCCATTGAGTCAATTCTGAATCAAATCGTAGCAACCCTATAGGACAGGGTACAACTGACCCTTGCAAGTTTCTGACACTGGAAGTCCCTGTGGGAGTAAGAAAGCCTCATCCAATTGCTGGTCTTGTGGGTAGCAGCCCAACGCAGGACCACACCACCACCAGGGCTGCTCGGAAGGCCAATGGGAGGTGGTTTAATAGTAGCGCAAGCCACATTGCTCAGTGCTAGTGAAGTAGCAGGTCTGGACTGTGGGCGGAGACAGGCCACTTGGGAGCTCTGATAGTGGGATACAGGCGTCCCGGTGGCGGCAATCAGTTTGCTATAACCAAGGCTGGTGGTTCGGAACCACCCAGCAGCTCTGAGAAACACTTAGCAGCAAGACGCATGGTTTAGTTCCAGCTACAAGAAAACCTGTGAAGAGCCAGCACTTGATGGGGCTGCTTCGCCTCTCCGGGTCTCACAAGTGTTCCGCCTTTGACAGGGTGCTTGCTTTCAGTGGAAAACGCTGGACATTTTCCTTCTCTGACAGGTTCCCATCTTACACAGCTTCTGACTTTCACAGAGCTTGCTGTATCGTGCTGAGTGACCACTAAGTCTCCCAGTAATTCTCCTGGAGGACAGGGAGGGCCCATGTCGCCACATAGCTTCTCTGGTGAGGCTGTGTCACTTCGAGGAAATGAGTCACCAAGTCAATGGACAAACCTACTTCTGTGCCAATGGGCATTGAAAGAGAGCTACCCCTCAGTCTTGGGATCTGTGTGCTGCAAAAACCACCAAGCCCGCTGCTGCTGAGTTTGTTGTGTCTCCAAGTGAAGTCCTAGGGTCTCAAAGACTGTCCACTTTGTCCCTCGGAACAACTGGTGGTTTCATGTGGTTCGTGGTCCAATGCCTACCCACCGCACTACCGTATTTCTCCAAAGAAATGGTTCTGTATTGTCTCTATATTATATAATCGCCTTATTTAAAATATCCCCAACTTTAAAGACTTAGAATAACTACAAGTTGTTGCATTGGTGATCTTGGTCCATTGGTGAAGAAGTTACCATCTCATATGCAACTTGTTACATTTTTTCCTTCGGTGATCCTTGAGTGACAAGCCAATGGGGAAAGGAAAGCTATGGCCTTTTTGATAAATTGAATTGGAGTCATTATTAATTTTTTTAAATTCTAAACCTTTCATACCAACATTCTGAGGGATTTGGCTAACTGCTGTTCTGTGCCCTATACAATTCTCACCACGGAGGACTGCATGGCAGTGATCTTGGGCAAATGTGATCTTGAAATAAAATACCATGTTTCTAACATTAGATGTTTGGTCTTAATATATGGGACTTTGAAAGGTAACATTTTCATTTGCATCTGCAGGCTTTCTGGTAACCCCTTATTTTAAGGAACAAATTCAATGTTACTTAAAAGTATATTAAAAGGACCAAAAAATTTAACAGGTTTATCAGTTGTTAATATAGCTCCTGGGGGTTAGGCCTCAGAGTAAGAAGGGGACATTTGTCTGAAGTGCATGGAAGCGTGTGGCTCTCAAAAGCTTGCAGGTGGTACCGCCTCTAGACCTAGCTTGGATGGCTAGGGCTGAGATGACCAGAATGCAACCAAACAGAGAGAAAGATGTTTGACGCTGTGAATTGGTGTAAGTTGCTGAAATCTGATGGCTCACTCTGGTTAGGACTTTTCTCATGGATGTAGCTGGCCACAGTTCCCACCAGATGTGAAGATTCTTCAGATCAAGAAACACATTTGTCTCCTCAGATACTGGATTGATGGGGACAGGCAATGTAAAAACTGCCTATCTAAAATGAAGGGAGATAAAAGCATGAAGTGGCTGTCTTATAAGCTTTTATGGATGTATTCACATTCAAAGAATTAAAAGGGGGTAAGTTAATCCTTCATGTATGAAAAGGACAATAGCTAGAAGAACCAGGGGGTGGCCTGTAATGCAGCCAATTATTAATCTGACTCGACTCTTCTAGCCATAACCTTTGTTGTTCGCATGCTGTTTCTGCAGACAGGAAAAGAATGGTCTCTCTCTTGCTCCTTGTCTTAAATGTAATTCTTGTTTAAGGAATAATGTTTCATCCTTAGAAGATTCAGACAAACAGGAATATTACTATGTAATTGCAGGAACCTTTAAGACTTCAGTACATGAACGGGACAAAATGAAGTGAAATTGTGGTCGCGTCTTTTCAGATAGTGGCAGGGAATTTGGGATTAAGCTCTGACATTAATGGGGATAACAAGTTCAAGTTTCTCATCATTAGGGGAACTTTGTTGGGGACACGTGGCAGGTACAGGCTCTGGCCAAAAAAAAAAGAGTCTTAGGAGTCACAGAACTACCATACCACTTCAGAAGGTGAAATCTGAACATTCCAGACCCAAAGCCTTGCCATATGGCCACAGCCACTAGGCCTGCCCCAGACGGGTCTGAGATGTTCCTCCTGAGAAGGGCATAAGCAACAAGCAAAGTTACCAACTATTATTTGCTGTCTGCATTCTTCTCACACACCAAAAAATTCTTATTTCACAATTCAAGCTTAAAACAAACGAAATAAATACTTACTGTGTTTTTCAGGGAGACCATATCCTGAAAAGACAAACCAAATAGAAGGTTTAGGAGGTTTCTAACTAGGCTATTTCCATAAGTATTAGCCAGTACTTTCTCTGCCCCGCCCCGCCCCCCATCCCCCCATCATTCAGCTCTTATCTCAGAGCAAGAATCGATCCTCTGGAAGGCCTTGAAAAGGTTCCAGCTAGGACAAACCCTGGAGCATGATCAAATTCAGTCTAGGGAAAAGCGATCATATAATTGTTTAGCTTTGGAATGACTGAGGTGGGGAGGGAGTATTTATGCTTATAAGGCATTTCTCATAGATAATGGAATGGCTGTGTTCTCCAAACAGATATGTTGAAGTTTTAATCCCTGGGACCTCTGGAACATGACCTTGTTCAGAAATAGTCTTTGAAGATGGTATTAGTTAGTGTGAGGTCACACTAGAGTTGGGTGGTATCTAAGAGAAGGGGGGGACAGAGGGCGGGTAGCCATGGCATCTGAAAAGCCAAGGAACTCCTGGGCCCAACGGAAGCCAAGAGAGACTGGGAAGGAGTTTCCTTAGAGATGCTGAGAGGAGTGGGCCTTGCGCGGCCTTCAAAACAGAGAATAATGTCTTGCAAGCTACCAGGGTGTGGAATGTATTACAGCAGCCCTGGGAACAATGCACCACACAGCAGTGGCAATGATTTTTGCCTTAAAGAGATGTTGAGATTCAAGTTTAGGGCCTGTAATTATACCTTGTCTTCCCAGTGGCGGACACATGATCACCAGCCCCCATGGACCTGGGAAGCAGAGGTAGCCGGGCATCTGGTTAACCAGCACCAGTGAGTGATTCTTGGTTAACCAGTGAGAAGGCAACCTTTCTACAGCAAATGCTCCAGTCCATGACACCCTATCAGAATTCTAGCCAGTTGCCCTAGCGTGATGGCTATCCAGAGCCTTTGGCTCTGTCATTTGTACACTCAAAACCAACCCTGTCTCCAAGAGTTATTTCACCAAGCTGCCCTGGACAGGGCAATTCGTAGGTACTAAGAATTCTGTTCTCTGATGACAAATGCCAGCAATGACAAAGTCTTCTGGCGATGTCATGGAGGAGCGTTTCCAATTGGGGCCCTCTTTTCCCATCCCCCTACTGCTAAGAACCTGTCTAGCTAGGTCACCAGGCTTTCCAGAAGGCACAACTGAGTTTTTAAAAAATGTATTGAATTGGAAAAGAATAGTCTACCTTCACATTTCTCATCAAAATGTGTCTGTTTTCTAGGGCTGCCAGAACAAAATGCCACCAAGTGGGTAGCTTCAAATCACAGTTGAGCAATTTCTCATAGTGCTGAGATTAGACGGTCAAGTCCGGGCTTACGGCCATGTTGATCCCCTTCCATGAGCATCTTGCCTGGATTCTGACCTCAGCTGCACATAGAGACATCTGTGATTATGTGGCATCTGTCTCTGCCTTCCTTTGATAAGGCACCACACTCGGAGGGGATTAGGTTTAGGATCCACCCTACTTCGGTTTGACCTCATTAATATAAATTAAAAGTCATATTCAAACAGCATCACCTACAAAAGGTACAAAGGTTAGAGTTTCAGCTTTTAGTTTTTTTTGGAGGGGCGGGGGGGAAATTCTATCCTTAATTAAATTACATATGTGTATATTTTAAATGCCAAATATTTATAACTATCTCTGGGATAATCAAGCTGGGGGGGGCCCACAAAACTTAGATAGTTAAGCAATTTAGATGGATTTTATAGCCTTTGGGAACACTGTTCTACACGTCAAAATACAACAGTGTTCCTTCTTTCACTGTTTTCAGTGGGCTGACCTGTGCTCCCCAAAGTTTGTGTCTATCTGGAACCTGAGGAGGTGACCTTATTTGGAAATAGAGTCCTCCAGGATACAGTTTGAGGTCAATTTGGCTAGGGTGGGCAATAAATCCAATGGCTGGCATGTGAGAGAAAAGGGAGAAGTGGACACAGAAGGTGAAGTAAAAGTGGAGGCAGATTGGGGTGATGCATCTAAAGTCCAAAGAATGCCAAGGGTTGCCAGTAACTACCACAGCCTGGAAGAGAGCCATAGACCGACTCTTCCTCAGAAGTCCCCAAGCAGGAATGAGCCAGGCCAACACCTTGCTTGTGAACGTTTAGCCTCTGGAACTAAGAGAGAAGAACCTTGTTGTTCTAGCCCCCACTCCCCACCCAGTCTGTGTTCAGTTCCCCCAGCAGCCCTAGGAAACAAGTACACGAGGCATATGAATTCCTTCTTAAAATGCAGGATTGAGCTACAATTAGATTCCCACTGCTACATAAAGAATAGGTCATGTGTAGAGTACATAGAGGTTTTGCACTGGAAACAGATGCCATTTCCACCCGGAAATAATCCCACACCATTACAGAACCCAGAACAGCTGGTTAATCGACAATCTCAAGCAAAACAAACAAAAATGCCTAGTGCTGGCAGCACATATTGTGCCATTCAAATACTAGTATTTTTAACACTGAGGAAGCTGGACATTTAGAAGTAGTGTCCGTGAAGGCTGCTTGGAACCACTGGTTTGCAGACCTGGTTGCACAGTGTGAGGTTAAAACAATAACAAACACACACACCAAAAACCTAATACACTCAGGTTCCATCTGCAGAGACTGACGTATTTAGTCTGGGGTGGTAGCCGGAGTTATTGGGCTATTTACACGCTCCTTCGGGTGATTCTCAAGTGTAGTCAAAGTTGACAGCCATTCGAGAAACACAGCCAATGTTTTCTTCCTCACATGATCCGACATAGACCAGGATCTTCGGGCCAAGGCTAGGGTCTTCAACGGCATTCACTGTGGAAGGACTCACCTGAGACATTACGGGTCACACATGTGAGCCAGGTGTACAATACATACCGTGGAGTCCAAAAAATAAAAAAAGTTGTAGCCAACTTGCACAAATGCTTTTTAAAAATTCCCAATAATCACTGAGCCTTGCAAAGATGCTCAGCTTTTCCATCTTACTCGGCTTTAGATGGAGGATAAATTAGATTACGTATTAAGTCTATCACTAAACTTCTCAATCCATTTCGACAATAGTGAAATGTTTTCTCGTGTTACTGACCAAGTGGAAAAAGAATTTCTCTATTTGGTGTATGTCTGGATCAAATTGACCAGCACGGGATTCAAAGAGTTGCTTGCTACTCGCATGGAAATGGAAAGGGTTTCTGTGTTTGGGGGTTTTTGGGGGGTGTTTTTTTTTTTTTTTTGCCTTCCCTTCCTTAAAAGTCTACCAACATCCAAGTTGGCTATAAGTTCCTGCTTGTAGCACACTGGTGCCCACAGTGCCCAGGAAGTGGTCTGTTAAGCTAGAACCTGTGCTGGAAAGGAAGGAAGGAATTGTGCAAACAAATCTTAATTTTTTTCTCCATTCTTCGGTTGCAGTTACATTTCAACGGAAGACCTAAGCCTGCCTCCACACAATGCAGTGCTCAGGAGAGAGTGAATACCCTTTACTTTCAGTGAGAGAGCGGTGTCCGTGTCGGTGTCGTGGTAGAGGATCACGTTGTTGGCCATGTCGAAGCTCTCGCGGACACCCAGGTGGTAGAAGAGGGAAGGCTGTCGAGAGACATCGCTCATGTCCACCACGGCGACATCTGCGGTGAATGGGGAGAGAGCAGCGTCAGGGGGGGAGGGGGGGTGGAATAAAGAGTGCATCTACTGAAATCGACTTCCTGTCATTTAATTCCTTCTCATCACACCAATGAGGAGTCCATCTGACTCACAGTTCTACCATCAGCCTGTCAGGCAAAGCAGAAATGAGCGATAACTGGATTCAAATTAGCCCATGAACTGCAGACGAAAGCAATTGGGAATAAACCACTAAAAGAACCTCCCTCTTCCTTGAAAGGGCTGGGAATGCAGCCTTCCTTACAACCTGCTGGCAGATGGATTTTTACTATTGTATTCTCAAATGTAGATACAAAAACTACATTTGGTCTCTAAGATTAGAGCGGAACCCGTGTAAGGCAGAAAGAAACCGACCTCTGTCAGAGAAAGAAAACGCCTAGCTTTCCCTTAAAACAGGCTATCGAAAAGATTAAAGGTGCGTGCTGGCAAAGGCAGACATCTTCCACACAAGGCAACGGCTGCTGGCTCTCATGGGTTTCACAGAATAATGAAGTGAAAACCAGGCACCCACTAGGCAAGCCAGCATCCAGAGCCTTCCAAATGCTGCCAGAGTCCCGAGCGGCCCCCAGAGTCCCCAGCGCCTCCTCCGCTGCCCAGGGAAAACTGTGACCTCACATTCTGTTTTCTTCCCCTGATTTGTATGTATGTGTTTGGGAATGGCCTGTGTGTTTCCTCATCTGTCCTCTCGTTGTCTCATTAAAATGAATTTCAATGGATACTCCCCCACTCAAAAAAATAGGTCTCGGGTTTTTCCATCTATTTCTCCCATAATAATGCCCTTTCTTTAACAAAACCAACTCTTCCTTCTAGATCACCGCCAAGCATCAGTCCTGGGCGTGACTGTTGATGCTACCCATCCTGAACCCTAAGCATCCTCAGCAGTGTGTACACTACACACACACACACACACTCACCAGGGGGACTGAGTTCACCTGGGGGTCGGTGCTGACAAGTTGCTGTGTAGACAGCAGCGGTTCTCAACCTGTGGGTCTCGACCCTTTTGGAGGTCAAATGACCCTTTCACAGTGATGTGAAAACCTTGGTGTGTGTGCATGTTCACAAGCAAACGTTTTCTAAACAAGCGATTTGGATAGACAGAAAAGATGGCAGAAACCTTAGAAAAACTTGCTCATGCCCCATACTTCCATTTACCCCTCAGGCTTTCTGGCCTGCCCATGCCCTCCTAAGAAAGTTCTCCCCAGATTGCCTGCCCTTCTTGCCCCCTAGGCTCTCCCTGGGCTTCAGACCAGCTTCCAGGAAGCACTGAGCGCGTGGACAAAAGGACAGTGGCATCATAATGAAAAGGGCAGGGTGGAGTGGAACTGCTCCACTCACTTGGCAAAAGACAAAACCATCAAAGCGCTAAGCTGATGGCTGTCAACAGGGGCCTAGAAACCAAAGCACCGTGGATTTGCATTCTTCTTGTTTCAATAGCGACAAGACAAAAAGAAACCCAGCCAAACCCACTGCCACTGAGTCAATGCGGCTCCTGGTGACTCTCTAGGATGAAACAGAACTTTCCCTGCTGGGGGTCGCCAGTCTCCCACAGAGTGGCTGGTGGGGTTTGAACCACTAGCTCTGGGGTTAGCAGCCCAACATGTAAGCTTCTAAGCCACCAGGACGCCTTGGAAGAAAGCGTGACCTTTCTATTGGAGTCCCAGCAAAGATGCCACTCCAGAGAGAAGCTGCTCAGGCCTCCCTCCTAGGTCATCCCCCTGTCTTCTTGCCAGCTGAGCTCACCCATTTAAACACGTCCTTTTTGCCCTTTGTGGGAGCACTCTACAAGGTGTTAACAGGTTTGTTACTCGGGGATTTCAATACATTAGCATTGTTTGCTTTAAAAGTATCCTATGATACATGCTTTTTAACAGAAAATTGAGCTTTTGAATTTTAGTTGGATTGGTTAGGTTTTCTTTAAAGTGGAATGTACCACCTAAATATACCACCTTAAACATACTTGTATACTTGCAGATTTTTTTCCCTTTTGTTAAAAAAAAAAAAAGCTGGGACCGTTTACAGCCTCATACACGGGCCTGCACTGCTGCTGCACTGTGGCATTCTGCGACCAGCAGACTGTCCCATTGATGGAGCAAGCGCATTGGGACTACAAGAACAAGGGGCATAGTGGCGGAGGGAAGTGAATGATCTGTCACCCCTTACAACTATGGAGGAGCTGAAGACTTTGGATATCCATCAAGAGAGGTCACCAGCAGCCAGATTTGAAGGCTTTCCCCCGAGAAGGAGCACTGCGGAAGTGTCAGCAGCCGACGGAATTAGCAGATGATTAAGCCGCACTGGTCACCATCAGTTGTCTATTGTGCTTTTCTCAAGATTGACTGGCCGGGGCCTACGTTCAAACGCCCCACTCACTGCCAGCAAGTCGATTCTCACGCATAGTGACCATATACAGAACAGAATAGAACTGCCCCTATGGCTTTCTGAGGCTTCAAATCTGGATGTGATACCAGGAGGGTGGGGTAAGAAAGTGTGAGCCGATCACAAGGATCGACATATAACCCCCTCCCAGGGGGATGGACAACAGAAAAGTGGGTGAAGGGAGACAGCAGTTGGTGTAAGGCATGAAAAAAATGATAATAATTTAGAAATTGTCAAGGGTTCATGAGGGAGGGAGGGAGGGGAAAAATGAGGAGCTGATACCAAGGGCTCAAGTAGAAAGAACATGTTTTGAGAATGATGACGGCAACAAATGTACAAATATGCTTGACACAATGGATGGAGGCATGGATTGTGATAAGAGCTGTAAGATCCCCCAATGATTTTTTCCTTTTTTTTTTTTTTAACCCTAACCCTAACCCTAACCCTAACCCAATGATTTTTTTTAATAAAGAAAGTATAGGGGAGATAGCATACCTGGGACCTGATTGATGCCTCTGCGTGGACGTGGGCCTCTCATAAGGAGGGCCCTGGGAACCTCCCCCACCCCTCTCTGCTGACACTGAGAGCTGCCATTTTCCCACCAACCTTGGATCCGTGCAACCCTGCCCCCACTGGCCTGTGCTCTTCCTGCATTCTGTATCACTCTATGTGGCTCCATCGATTTCCATAGGGACTGACGGACTGAAGTTGGACTGAGCTCTCTTGATAAATCTGCTCGATCTAAAGCTCTTTCTTAGACATATGTGTCACTAGATTTGTTTCTCTAGTCAACCCAGCCTCACACAGAAGGTCAATTAATAAAGATGGCTGACCGACCGCCAGGCAGATTGGTCGAGATCCCGAGGACATAAGTGAAAATGCTGTGGCATTGACCTCGATACTTGCCAGCCCTCTAACGATTCAGACTTCTGGCTCTGGGAACACTGGCTGCAGTTTCTCTCTTGTTTTGCCCGTTAAGATTCACAGTGACCTTATATATAGGACAGGGCAGGACTGTCCCTGAGGGTTTCCAACACTATACATCTTCATGGGAGTGCAAAGCCTCCTCTTTCTCCCATGGAGCGGCGGGTGGTTTCCAATTGCTGACCTTGTGGTGAGCGGCCCAACATGTACCCCACAGTGTCACCCAGGCTAGAAAGGGTGAGGCGCTTTCTAGTGGCGTCTAAATCTTTGTTGACTAAGGATTTTGTGGTAAGGATTCCTGACGGGCTGGGGACTCTTACTGTTTTCTCTGCACATTTGCTGGCAGCTTTGGGATTTGTCTCCCCAGAGGGATATAGAATACTCCCCAAATCCAACATTCATTTAGCTATAAAACTCCTCTCCATCATTAGTTGAAGACTACATGAGGGTTTCCAGGGAAGGAAACAATTGGGTATGGAGATGATGAAGAAGCCCAAAGAGAACAAAAAGATGATCCAATCCACAAATGGCCTGGACCAAACAGCTCACTGAACAGGCTACTGAAGTGGCCAACAGGTACCCCTGTCCTTAGCCATGAGGGAGATGCCAATCAAGATCCCCTGGAGACGCTTTACCTGCTCAAGGGCCAGTATTTTAAAGAAAGTAACAGGTGTTGGAGAAGATGTGGCCAAAGTAGAACTTTCATTCATGGTTAGCGGGAATAGAAAATGGCACAGCCACTGGGGTCAACAATTTGGCGGTTCCCAGAAAAAAATGAACTTACCCGATGAATCAGCATATGACTCACAGCATCCAGCCACCCCAACTGTAGGTATGGGCCCAGAAGAAGTGCAGGCAGGACGGCACATGGACACCTGCCGTCCAGGGTTCACCGCAGACCGCTTTTCCCAGTCACCTACAGGTGGCAACATCCACACTGCCCATCCACAGGCGCCTGAATAACTGGAACTGCCTGTAGGACAGGGGTTCTCAGCCTCCCTCTTGCCGGGACCCTTGAGTACAGGTCCTCTTGTGGTGGTGACCCCTCCCCCAACCATAACATTATTTCCGTTGCTACTTCATCACAATCATTTTGCTACTGTGATGAATCGGGCGACCCCTGTGAAAGGGTCGTTTGACACCCCTCCAAAGGGGTCGCAACCCACAGGTTGAGAACCACTGCTGTGGGAGAAATAAGTCAGACAGCATCCCACAACAGGGGTGACCCCCTCAACCCTTGCAAACATGATGCTGAGGAAAAGCAGTCCGTCACAAAAGGACAAACCAGTCGGATTCCCTTATGTGAAATAAACAAATACAAAGGCACTAAAATGTAGTGGCCCCACCCCAAAAATGAGGCAGAAAGGCGAGGGGGAGAGATTTTGCTCCGGAGGCACTGAGGTGACATGCGCGACGGAGCGGCATGGCCTAGGTGCGCGAGAACAGCTGTGCCACCTGAAGAACGTCATTCATGACCTGCCGCCATGTAGAAATGGTGGCACGGATAGATTTTGCTGTGTGCATTTTCCCACTAACAGAGAGGGTCGGGGAAGGGCGGACGGAAACATCTAACCAGCCCAAGTGAAATCTGGCATGTGCAAGTTAGTGACCACACAAGGTAAGTCTCCTGTTCCGACCAGTTCACACTG